CCGACTTATTTCGTGCCTTCGTGACCCTTGTCAGGGGGCGAATGCAATACACGGCTCTTAGCCTTATTCGCGACTCGATCCTAGATAGGGTCTGAGTTCGACTCATGACATAGTCCTTCGCGAATATCATTTGAGACAGGTTCTCAATGACCGCTCTAGTCATACTAGTTGATGATGAAACATCGCTCTAGATATTTAGCCAGCGTGGTACTTCCACGTACTAGATAAATGCTAGACGAATCTTCCACGCGTTCCGTTTTGGATCGTGGAGTGAGTAGGATTGCTACCGCAACCTACTCTATCTCACTCTACAGTCTCCGCGGAGTTCAGATCTACGATCCTTCGATTGTGGATCTCTCTCGTGATTAGTTTTTCATAGCTTCTAATCCTCTTATAACTTTCATTCTCTCTACTCAAAACACTCGAAAATCTTTACACTAGCTTTTAGTGTAGTGCACAACGAAACAGATCCGCTCCAATTCCCTCGGTTTTGAGGAGAAGCCGCGCACTCCACTCGGGACCAAAGAAGGTTCTTTGGTTTGAACCAATACAAAGGAAGAGGTGAGATCCAATGATTGAGCCCGCCTTCACCTGAAATGTCTTGTTTGAATGATTCAATCGAATCTGCATTGGCTTACTTGTTTTCTTTCTTCCACGTTGCCTCATTCTGTCGTCCACGTTGCCCCACATTTCCCAGCCAAGCATCATGTTGAACCAATTCATCGACCGAATTCTCTCCTTCTTACTTGCCGCCCGTTCGTGGTGCCAATGGGCTACCAATGGTGGGCGCTTGGTTGTGGATCGTTTGAACTCATCTCTTCTTTTTCTTGTTGGTTTTGTCCATTCGGTTTGTGGACGCATGATTGGACGTTGTGTCGCTTGGGAAACTCTATTTGCGTTCAGCAGTGATGAGACTGACGATATCTCCATGGTTATACGTGTCACTACCACCATCGGATATGACAAGCGTGTGCAGGGATGTTTGACAGTTCAACAGTTTGGGAGGACTACTCTATTCCGAGTTTTGATCGATGGCCATGAGGTTGTCGACGGAGCAGGTGGCAACCAGCAGGGCGCGAGGATCCAAGGAGCGGTGTATCTTCCAGAGAGCCTCCAATGGGACCCACTGTTTAAGAAAGTGAAGAGTTCGAATACTACGTCCATCCGTGGTCGATGTGCCTATGTCAAGTTTGGACCAAACATCTCTGGTGTCTCTGCTCTCCAGGCCACGTTGATCCATAGCAACAGCAACAAGAGTGCAGATGCGAAGCGAGTGTTTGCTGCCTTGGAAGAATGCATCAAGAACGCAGCTGAGGTGGTCAACAATGTCTCTCAATCCAACAACAACTTCCATTTGTAATCGACAATGGCGTTATCCGCAGCTTGGAGGCAGTTTTGTACTGTTTTACTATAGGATCGCCAATCCACGGATGGAATATCCTCACCTCGGATTTGACTCAATCCGCAAAATGTGAGCGGCGACTACACAACAACCATGTCACCTATCAAAAGGGATTGTTGTTTCTTACTCTCCTAACTATAAAGATCAATAGCTCTTATGTTGATAGCCTCATTATTAGTCATGGTTACCATGCTCCACAGCATCAAAGTAAGCACGGATATCCGAGGTATTCGCGGATCCTTGGAGGCACCCCTCTACGAGGCACTAGCTAGCTAGTAGTTGACGACGCTTTCACCCCTATATGATGGCAGCCTTGGCTGGACCGTATGTACCGGTATGTTTGTTTGTGGTTCCCTTGGACCATTTATTTCTCGACGGCAACCAGGGCAGTTTCAGAGGACGGGAAGCGATCCATGGAAAGGCCATCGTATCTAGCTAGCGCTGGTTCTTGCTATCTAGCTACTAGCTACAGTGGCTAGCAGACAAGACAAGTAATCGCTGACTGGATTGTTTGTTTTGGATTGTTTGTTTTGTCTGCTTGGTTTGTTTGCAGAATTTGTTTAATTTCTGTGCTTTGCACTGTACTGTACTGTTTTGTCGTGGCTGGCCAAAAACGGCGCCAACGAGACGAGTGTGGTATGAAAAACGGATAGTTGTTGTTTGGGTTATGAAGGAACGAACACGGAAAACAAAAAGTACGGCCAATCAGTCAAGTCAAGGCAGCCTATTGTTGTCGTCGGCATCATCGTTTAGAAAGTGCCTTTGCAAGTCGAGCTTGTATAGGTGGTGGTAACGGTTGTTGCGCCTCTGTTGGGACCAGCTCGACTCCAGACACCCTTGGTCATGACCTTGACGTTGATGTTGGCAGCAGCAGCGCCACCGCGATGACTGTCAAAGTCAAAGGACGACGAGGTGCACTCCTCCGTCGCGTCCTCTTCTTGTTGTCGCTCTAGTAGCTTGTCCTTGCGAATGGGTCCTCCTTGCAAAGAAACTCGTTCAAAGTAGGTTCCCGGGTATCCCTTGGCTTGACCAATTCCCGGCGCAATGATATCTGGCAAGTCTCTCAGATCCATGTATTTGCCCAGTACATCCAAGTAGTCGGATTTGGTCGCAAAGATGATGGCATCTCGCTTTTCCTGATCGAAAAAGTACTTGACGAGTCTCCATGCCATTTTGAATACGGCAGGAGCGCGAATCACAAAGATGCGCTGAAGTAGAGAAGAAGAAGTCGAGTGAGTCAACCATAGAGCGTGCAAAACAAGCAGTACGTAGATGTATGTATGTCAACAACGTAACACACCTTTTCCCACCCAGTGTAACAATCCTGCAAGATCCGTGACACCCGTTGCAACACTCGTAGCAGTGATGGTTTGAGTGGTCCTTGATTGAGATCATCTAGATCGACAATCATATTGTACTGTCGAACCTTGTGTCCTTGCTGTGGCTCGTAGTGTTGTTTCCAAAAGTCGGGACTGGTGTACAGTTCCCGAATGTAAATGAGATGATCGGCCATGGTCTCTTCTCCAAAGTGCTTGAAGAGTCCCCAACTGTCGGCCACGCCGACGCGATCGACCACAATCGGATCTCCCTCGTAATCGGTCGTGGCGAGCATTTGATTGGGGAGTTGATGCCACATCTCGTCGGGCTGGTAGCGCGTCAAGAAGGAATCCATGTCTTCCGTCAATCGCCACGAAACCATGTGGCGCCACATCTTTTCCGTCTTGGTGAGACTCGCCTTGCACTGCTTATAGTAGCGAATCACTTCAAACGGGTCATTCTTCCAGTGATCCAAGTCGGCAATCCGTTGTTGCAATTGCCGCATCTTGACTTGATCGTCGCGACTCAAACTCCACAAACGAGCCATTTCCGAAAAGTTCTCGGAACTCCATCGTTCCGATAGAGACAGGTTGCTATGAATCGGCATGCTGATATGATGATTGACGAGACGATGATTGTGGTTGGGATGGTTTGGAGTGGATTGACGCGGGCTACAGTGACGGCGATCTTTCTCTCTTTCCTTCTTGCGGATTCGCGTTGACAGGCGGATTCGATTGAGATTCGTTTTGGGTTGACTCGCAAGATGATCCTAGTAGCTAGCTAGTACAACTGGCTCAGGAGCACTCTTTGTTGGGCTTTCTGTCCTTCTTTGCGACGAGCGAAAGGAACAACAGTATCTCACAGCGATTGAGAGGTGATAGGTGCGTATCTGGTGATGCTGACTACTGAACACAACAAACCCTCTTCCCGCTTCAATAGTTTCTCACTCTGAAGGAATCAATGTGGCGAAGATCGGAGGCACGAGAACCCTGGCGAGAATAATGAACTGCCATCACCTAATTAGGCAAGCGCGTCTCAAGCAACAGAAAGTCGCCTGGACGGTTTGGATGGTATTTGCCAACAAAATCTTTTACTCCTTAGCGCTAATGTTTCACGCTCGTCATTATAAAAATGACAAAACATGACTTCAAAGAGCGCTAGAAAGTGCATGGGGTCCGCCATCCGGTAATGGAGTGATTAAACGCTATGACGTTGACATTCGGTACTTAGCACAGCATGCCTGTAAGTCCTCAACCAGCGAGAACTTGGATCATGTCATAGATGTATTGCACTGTGGTATCAGCCCGCTGACTCCGGAAGATGTTAGTTCTTGGGGATCACTTCCGGTAGCTAGCTATTGTGCGACTCACTTTAGTCCTACATCCCTTGACTGTATCGATACGGCCATGAAGTTCAAGTTTATCCAATCGTTCCTTCATTCATCATCATCTGCACCTTTTCAGTAGGTGGCCACTTGTTGCTTACTCCTTCAATGACGGGACGACAAAGGTGTAGCCACTCGCTGGCGGTTTTTTCGGTGTAGGAAGCTTCCGCGTATCCCTTGCCAATGCGGGCCACGACAGGCTTGAAACAAAACTGTTGGTAAAGAGGAGGAACGGATTCCTCGTACGGTTTCATACCTGGACGATTCGTGAGCTTGATCAAGGAAATAAAGAACGCACCAAACTGGTCCGCGGACTCGGTGAAGTCTCCTTCGGCAACCCAAGCAGGTCCTTCCGTACAGCCAATGCGGATGGGAAGAAAGTCTTTCTTGCACTCTTCATTGTTCACCCACTCCATGCACATGTCCACAGAGGGGAACGCCACAACGACAACATATTGTATTTTCGACCATGTCACCTTCCACAATTGATGGGGAAAACAGGAAACAGCCAAGTTCTTGGGTCCAAAGGGCTCCTCATTGGGTTTGGCAAGCAAGAGTACTATTTCTTCATTTGTGCCGAGTCGTTGATCTTGAAGAGCACAACAAAGTATCCTTTCTTGGTGGCAGTCATGATGCTGTTGAACTCAAGTAGCAGTGTTTTGTTTTGTTTTGTTTTGTTTGTGTTGTTGATTGTTTGCCTGTGTTTGTTTTTGTGATGAGCCTCTTTTTGCCAAGAGCAACCATGCTTGGGAGTGCGTTGATCGATTCGATTCGATTCACCATTCGACACGATTCAATTCAATTCGACTCAATTCGATAATGATTCGATTCGAATCTAATCGAATCGAATCATGGAAGTCCAAGTTCGTGTCAACAAGCAAGGAGGTCACTCCGCAGCACGGTTCCGAAGCTCCGCAACAGCAAGCGTCATCGTCGCCCCGTTGACAGAGCGGACAACAACAATAATGGAGCGTCTAGCTACCGTACTGGTACCGGTATCATCATCAAGACTACTCTGTGTTGTTGGGTTGGTGCTCATCAGTGGCTCAGTCTCGTCTCATCATGTGTCGTGTTTCATCTGGCAGAATCTGTCATCCCAACATCTGGCAGAATCTGTCAGCTGAAAAATGGTTTGAAAATGGGATGTCACCATGATGAGCTCACTTTTTTGTTCAACCGGATTGCTAGAGTTGCATACCCAACCGAACAAGGAAGATTTGCGATTGTTGATAAGCCTAGGCCAGATCAACCCCCCTACTTTCAATTACCTTTCCTATCAATCTTCTATTCAATACCTATCAATTGCAAAATGAAGTTCTCTTCTTCTATCATCAAGCTGCTCTCGTGGTCATGGACCACCTACAACAACAACAGCAACACCATGAAGACCCCCGTTCTCCAGGTCGCCAAGGAGATGACGGGCAACAACAACGACAACGACAAGGATGTTCCTGCGGCAGAGGAAGTCCCAACATTCCAACTGGACGAGTTGGACAAGACATTCGTCGAAACCGCGGCACTGTTGCACACGAATGGAACGAATCCTGATGTGGAGTTCCAGCAGCGCGGTCGCTACCTAGGTGCCTACGACCTTTCCCTGGTTCCTGCGGATCAGCATGGTCACTACGGATACGACAAATACAACCAGCACCAGCCCAAAGGCTGTCGCATCCAACCCAGTCAATCAGCCAACGCTCGCTGGAGGACCCATTACGGTAAAGACACCGAACGGAGCAATGGAAACCGTTTATCCTTTGCTCCCGTCAACACTGTAGTGGGGTACTCTTCTGACGAGAGCGAACAAGCTGAGAACCGTCGTGTCTATCGAGACATGAAGAAACATGAGCCACAGGCCCGATACGAATTCTGGCACGAAGCCCAACAACAATTCATTTCCGTCGGCACACCCACACCCCACGAACGCGTATTGGATCTCGTGCAGTTGATTCAAGAGTACGGATACCAACAAGTGGCCAAATGGATCACCAACAACCTATGGTTCCAAAGCGACAAAGTGTACCTAAAACACGCCAAACTGTACATTCAAATTGATGCCGTGCATCAAGACCTCGAGGGACTTGTTCGTTTCATCCAGGCGAAGAAAGGAAATGACAAGCAAGTCGCCCACTGGTTCATGGTCAACGAAAAGAACCCTTACATGTTCGAACTCGCCATGTGCCACTTGCATCACGGAGGAATTCAGCGCAATGCTGACGACGAAATTTGCACCTTGAATACGCGAGAACAGATTGCCAAACGACGATTTGTCTATCGCAAGGTCAAGGATGTCTGCATGGAAGATGCAGCACCAGTAGAAGTAGATCAACAACCAACAACAACTAAAGACATCGAGGCAATAGAAAAAGTCTCAACCGTCGACGACAACAAGATGGCATCCGATGCCACAATCACATGTGAAGCAGCGGTGGTTCCAACATGCACAGCAGTTTTCCCATACGTTCAAAAGTGGCATGTGAAACGTTTCAAGATTAGTGTGCATGGACAACAACCATTTGTATTGGAGATGCGAATGATGAATGGTGTGCTACTTGGAAGGGTACCCAACGACTTGCTCGCGGCATTGATGAAGGATGGCGGAGACCTTGTCAAGGAATTCATGTGGCGACACAAGACACTACAATTGGAGGCAGGCATTGCCTCAGACAATACGGATTATGAATTCGTGATTGGCCAAGTGGTAGGTGAAGAACCACTGGTCGAAGAACAACAACAAGTTGATGCTGACGAACCACTGGTCGACGAACGAGTCGACGAGGAGGACAATGTGGACACAGCACAATCAACATTGCGGCGGTCAAAGAGACGCATGGCGGCGATTGCATCTCAGAGAATTGCAGAGCAAATCAAGACAAAGCCGCGGCGGGTGGCAGAACAACCTAGAAATGATAAACGTAGACGCACCGTGGCCAAGAAGTCGACAAAGCCAACGGCGAAGGGCAAAAAGTCGACAAAGCCAAAGGCGAAGGGCAAGAAGCCAAAGACGAAGGGCAACAAGACGACAACAACAAGACCTGTGACGGACACACAGCAGCAAACAACAGTTCAGACAACAAGTCGTTCTGGGCGGCGAGTAAGAAAGCCTGACCGGTACATTCCAGTCTAGGAGAACAGGTAAGTTGGGGTGGCGACGACGACGGATTGCGGGGATTACTATCACATGAATACATACACAATGAGCAAGCATCCGGTGGGGTGCAGGGCTATACAACAAATTTTTGCGGAGATGAATACAGTTGGTTCAATCGAAGGGTCACATACAAGGTAGCCAGGTTTGTGGTTCCTGTGCTAGGCAGCCTCTATTGCAGAGTGCTTGTCCGAACGTCCTCCACGTGACGAAAGTCCAAAGTTAATACCCGTGACACCTGACAACCAACCTCTATCATTGTTGATGCTATGCTACAATCTTTAAAAAAAATACAACCAAACATACATAATCATAGAAGTATAACACATAGTAGACAATCTTTACAACCAAAATCATGGATTCATTCTTTATAGTAGTTGTAGTTGTACTAGCTAGTAGTAGTTCATAATCATAGAAGCATCAATCATAGGGCCCTGGATCCTTGTACATGTATCCTCTGGGTAACTAGGAGATGCCAAGAGTTTGCGGAGTGGCTTGGGAACACCACGATTTTTCTCAGCCTCTGTGAGTGACGCCTTGCTGATGACTCGTCACTCAATTCGATCGTGAACAAAGACATCATGACAACGAAAACAATGGCACGGCCGTACATACTGGTACCGTACCAGCACTAGTACAGTCGTACTAACACTCACTTTTGAACGACGGCTACTGCTTTGTTCGAGATCCCTCTGATATTCCACCATAGCAGCAACGATCTATATGTACGACAATCTGCACGATGCAATATGGGACACGAGAAGTTCGCTGGAAGCCTTCAATGTGATTCTGACGGAAAACCCTGCAAGTGTTCGTCAAGTAGACCCAAAGAAGGATCGACCGTACAACTATGGCGTGAGAAGTGGGCCTCAGGAAGGCACGGAACCACCTTGGGGTGGATTGCCACTTCATGCCGCACTGGAGCGTGGCAGATTCGATGTTGCATGGATGCTACTGGAGATGTATCCTGACGCAGTATCTTTCAAAGCCAACAAAGGACGTCTGCCGCTGCATCTACTCTTCTTCAGTACCGACCATCCTCCTCCTTTGGATCTCGTCCATCAAGTCATTGAGGCAAATCCAGAAATGCTACGAATTGCGGACGACTGTGGAAAACTTCCCTTTCATTCCTTGTTGATGTGGGCTAGATTCATGCTTACACGAGACAGAAACCAAACCATTGAGATTGCCAGGGCAGTTCTGACTGCCTATCCAAAGGCAGCCAAAACTCCTTTGGCAAAGGGATGGTATCCACTTCATCTTTCAGTCCAAAGTGGAGAAGTCGAATTGGTCAAAATGCTGGGGGAAGCTTGTCCAGAAGTCTTGCAAAATCCAATGAATGTTCAGGGAGTATGGGTTCCAATCTCTTGGGCTGCGAGATGTGGATATCTGGGAATTGTCAGACTGCTACTGGAACAGAAGGGAGGATTGGAAAGCCTTTACAAAGCAGATTACAAAGGTGAACTACCAATACATGCCGCAACTAATGTCTCCAGATTTGATAGAGCCGGGCAACTCAAACCGGCACACATTCAGGTCGTCCGGATCCTTGTTGCACAGGCACCGGAAACCATCATGATGCCAAAACCGGATGGAAAGCTGCCAATCCACGAGATGGCTACGAACGGTTCTGGAACGGTGGCGGTCCGGGAGGCTATTGTAAAACACCTCATCGACAGTGGACCCGCCAATCTGCTCCAAATTCCGCATCAAAACGGTTCCAAAAAGCGAGATCTTCCCATCCACTTGGCAGCCGAACGAGGAGGGCCGGCCATTCTGAAACTACTCCTACAATCCGCCCCTGATACACTGCATACGCCGGATGGCGATGGCTTATTACCAATACACCGGGCAACGACAGTGCCAAATCTCACGGTCTTGGCGCAAGCAGCGCCGGAAACTCTCAGTGTCCCTTCACCTAGCCGGATTCGCTTTCGAGGTGGACTGCCACTGTTTGTGGCCGTCAAAAGTAAAAAGTTTCGAAGCAGTACAGACGAGGCTCAACTCAACTGTTTTGACTTTTTGTTGGCTCATACACCTCTGCACGATGCCATCGATGACAGGGAAGGGTCGATACTGCACGGGGCCCTCCAACACGATTTGCCGCTGGGATACATTACCAAGCTTGTCGCGGCTTTGAGTGCGAATCATTTACTAGGGGCATGTCTGCGCAAGCACCAGAGGACTACAGGATTGACACCCTTGCACTATGCACCAACGGTTCCATTCGAGTGCCTCAAGGAGGTCTTGAACGCAACAGAACCGCACGTGGCGCGAGAAGTGTTGCAAATGCGCCAGACAACTCGTGGGTCATCCGATACGCCGCTGCTTTCCGTCCTCGCATGTCCAGCTCTCTGGAAACGAAGGAGTGGTACGAGACTACTACTACCAGGGGGTGCGGATGGCGATGATTACGTTGTTGGGTTTGGCCGGTTTGGGGCGGCACACTGGACGACGAAACAGCCGGCTGTCCAAGACACTCCTGGATATCAGATGGTAAAGCTCCTCGTGGACGCATGCCGTGAATCGCTCCTGATACGAAACAGCAAAGGTCTCTTGCCCGTTCAGGTTGTGACACAATCGGTCATGATCAATGGCGAGCAGGTCATCCCGACGGAAGTTCTCGGGTACTTGATTGATTCTACGACTGTGTTTGACATTGACACGTTGGAGATTGCCAGCAACATGAATGGCAGTACTATGGATGTTGGGCTTTGTTTCGAATATCTCCTTCGGTTTCCGGACGTTTTTTGAAGGTGGCTGCGCATGAAATCAAAACGGTCCTCGGTTTGACCGTGATGTCCTTTTTAAAAGGAATACGAAGAAGAATACGGAGCCGCACAACCTTGAAAATAACTTAAAGGCGTCATGCATTCTTGTGGTGCAAGAAGGACCAGTACCGTACACGACAGCGAAAGGTTAAGTTTTGACATACAAACAGCAATCCTTGAGTCTCACCTCATCTGATACAAGCAGACACGCGAACAGATTCATAGGTGCTACGGCTGGCAGATAACACGGACGATGAAAGCTGCACTGATCGTAGCACATTTTGCAAAATTTCTAGGAGCTTAGCTACTAGACTATTTTAGCTAGCTAGCCAGGAGGAACTTGCACTGTGGAGGTAAATATGACTTGATCCCTTGCGTCATTTTCACCCTTGGTGCTTCCCTCATACAAGGCTGAAACCTGTATCTTTGTGGTAGATTGGGGCAACGTAGTTTGCAGTATCCCAGATTCCCTGCCGTCCTTTTGTCGATACGGGTATACATCTTCCGTTGACCCAGCACTGAGCAACTGTCCGGTGACCGCATCCTCTACAAAGACGACCAAAAGAGCTTCGTTGCTATTCAATTTTTGTTGGTGGATTGTCATGTCTACCATGATCATGGCTATTCTGTCTTTGGGTCTCAATTCCACGGCTGGTTTATGAGTTTTGGGGAATGGTGCCCTTGGGATTTCTTTTAGCTCTTGGTGAATGAGTCGTTCCCATGCTTGCTGGAGCTCTCTACTAGTGTCATCCTCTTCTTTTGGATCCTCCTCTGTACTACTAGTAGTTTCTTCTTGTTGCTTGAATGGCTTGTCATAATACGCTTGATACTGTTCCAAACATTCGGCCAGAGCTTGCGCGTGATCACCGCACTGCGAGAGGTGCCAATCTTGTTGTGGATTGTTTGGGTCCTTTCCTGGGTGCTGGTCGGTACAGCGTAGCCAGGTTTGAAAGAGGCTGCCACAAGGACCACTGGAATACTTTTCACAGTAGGGACAGTTTTCTCGTTCCTCTTTTCGCAGTATTATTGGGATGTCATTATTACCGTCCGCATTGCCAGCTGCCCCAGCAGCAGTACTAGACACGTGAAATCCCCTTGTCACAGAAGTGCCAAACGTAGGTGGTTTCCTTTGTTTTGCATCACAGAATGTCCACTGTCTTTGCCTTTGATGATGACACCATAAAGTAGTAGTGCAAGTCGATATTGTAGTGACCCAAATTAGACAGCCAGAGTGTCTTCCACCAAATAATAGGCTTGAATAATGGTGTAGGAAACGGTTGGAAATTGTTGCTTCTCTTGCATGCCGTGACGCCACTACAGAAAGACAGCGCGACCGTATCGGTATCCCGGTGAGAAGTTGCAGTTGCCGAGGCATCTTGTCTGAGCTTCAACTAGCTAGCTAGTATCAACCACTGAAACCAAAGGGGCAAGCATTCAGTGGAGGTTGTTGCAAAATCCTTTGCATCCGAGAAGTGTGCTTCGAAGCTTTTGCTTTGTGGTGTTCGCAATTCGATTCGATTCGATTCGATTGAGATTCGAGTCAAAGCATTTTCGAATGAAGATCTGAGTGGAAAAGGTTATGAGTTTTGGATGCAAGAACAGGATACAACGACGACTCTGAGAAGGCCAACGAAACAGAGAAAAGCCAACAGAACCAAAAACACAAAAAACCACCAACTTGGAAGTGAGAAAACAACAACAACAATACACTCCATCTATCTTTTGCATAGCCAACAATAGACACCAGTACAGTACTCTTGAGACAATAATATGCCCCGACAATCTGGATTTGCAGACCGCGAGCCATGTCCCTGGCGCATTGTGGATGATGTGGGCGGTGCCTTTTGTATGGGAGCCATTGGCGGTGGTGTGTGGCATTCGGTCAAGGGTGCTCGAATGGCTCCTGCCGGAGCGCGATGGGCTGGATCGTTGAGTGCCGTCCAAGCACGATCTCCCGTGCTCGGTGGTCAATTTGCCGTGTGGGGAGGATTGTTTGCCTGTTGCGATTGCACACTGACATCCATTCGTCAAAAAGAAGATCCCTGGAATTCCATTGTCAGTGGTGCCGCGACCGGTGGCATGTTGGCTGTGCGAGCCGGACCTCGCGCCATGGCCAGTGCGGCGGCCGTCGGAGGAGTGCTGTTGGCACTCATTGAAGGAATGGGAATCATGTTTACCAAGATGATGGCGCCTCCCGTACCAACCGCACAAGATTATGAAAAAGCCATGGCGGCAAATGACCCCACGGCGCCACCTACTGCCGGCGGGTTGTTTCCAACTGGCGGTGGTGGATTTGGTGCGCTATTAGGGGGACCATCTTCTGATCAAGCACCCGCTGCTACCACAGAACCACCCATGTCAGAACCATTCATGACGACGGATGGTACTACTACGTTTTCCACGGAAGCATCTAAAAGTGACACTGGCAATGATGCCAACAGTAGTGGCGGTTCTTGGTGGCCTTTCAGTGGTGGAAGTGGAAGCAGTTAATGCAATGCAACAACCAACAGAAACATGGCATGGCACGCAACAAACCAAAACAAAACCAACCAAACACTAGCAAGGCTCAAGATTGTATAAATCAGTTTTTCAAAAATAATGGAAATGCTGGACATGGATGTAGCAGCCTTTCGGTGATAGACAATTTTTACCACTGTCTACCTCGAGTGCTGGACTGGTGACTGTATTTGATTTGCATGTCAATTTCTTTATTTATATACTAGCTAGCTAGTCTCATACCGGTACTGTACTGGTACCTACGAAAGTTAGTAAGGCGAGCACCCTCAATTATCACAGCATAGCATGTAGTCGTCCGCTTCCAGGGCAAATATTTATTATAAAATAGTGATGTGTGAGTATCGTACAGTACTTGTTGGCTAATTGTATTCTATTCTATTGCATGTTGAGCCTGTTCTTACTACTATCAATTTGTAGAGATGTCGTACTGCAAATCGACTCAGAAATCAATCCGATTTGCAAATCAATCCTCAGAGCCATTACGCATGGCGTAGTTTAGTTTTGTATCTATTCACAGCTGATCGTCTTTCACTAATTATTTATTTATGTTATCTATTTTTTCGTTTTGCTCTCTGGAAGAAGCGTACTCAGCATATCCTTAATGTCGTCCTTCTTGTATCCGTCCAAATTAATGACTTCTTTGGAAACATTCTTGTACTCTTTCAATTTCAGATTGGGAGGAACAATTTCATCAAACCAAAGAATCAATTGCGGGGCTGGTCGACGCCACATGAATCCATACGAGGACGATGCCGAAGAATCGTCACTTCGCACTAGTTTCGAGAGTCGTTTCGACCCCTTTTCTTGGACCAATCCTTCCCAATGTTCATTTAAAAACTGCGCCATTTCCGACTGACTGTCGGCACCTTCCTGCCGATGCACCAGCACGGCCGATTCGTACGGGCGGGTCAACAGAGACGATTTCTTGTACGACTGACAGCATTCCAAACAGCGTTCTTGAGGATTTATACTTGTCGATTTGCTGGTAGTGGGTAGCAAGTCGCATGTCTCGCACGAGAGTTGCCAGGGATCAAAGCCATCTTGGCGGCAGGATTCCAGCAGGGGCGTTTCATGGGTAGCTTCTTCTTCTTCTTGGGCGATGGAAACACCGATCCATAGCACTGCCAGCGTCATCCACAACGTGGCAATCCGACGAGGTCGTTGGAGTAACAGCATCATTGTCGTCGTCGTCAACTGTCTTGGGATGAAAGATAGTAGTATCTTTGCAATCAAAACCACAGCAAATGTATGTGGTCACCGGGAAAGGGGCTTGCAAATTCTCCTCTAGACGCACACTTGTCCTTATTTTTGAGCTCTCGGAATGAGAATCGCTTTTCACAAACTATTTTTCTAAAGTTTTGGTCTAGCTACTGGCTAGCTAGGAGCTAGTTAGTTCTAAAAGTGTTTCCTCTTTTGTCTTGTCTCTAACATGAAAGATTTCAGAAGCCTGCGAGGGCCAGGCTTGGGCAAAGAAGAGTCTTTGTCTTTGTCTTGATGCATCCAAGAAAGCACTACGTCTTTCTTGTCTATCTCCTCTACTAAAAGGACTGGACTATGGGTCCGGAGAGTTCTTGATCCCAGCTTCCTTTGAACACAGTGGTGGTTGTGACACTAACAACAACAACGGCACCATTCTTTGACGACCGTGCGGATGGTGTTCTTCTTGGGTATTGAAGCGACTTGGATTTCTGTTTCCTCAATTGCTTCTTGGCCTGCTTCCGACTGGGAATGGGGCCTGCTTCCCAGTGGATGTTTTCGAAGAAGCCTGGCATGGACTTTCCCTGACCAACTCCTGGAAATACACAATCCGGGAGGACGCAAGGGTCCATATACTCGTGAATATCTGCAAGATCGGCAATGATCATCTTTTCGCGAATGTGCTGGAGAGGCAAGCAAAAAGAACGCAGCTGATGAGATTGATTTGTGGCTACTAGCTAGCTTTCGAATGGGAAAGCAAACAGGCATGGATTCACTTCACACAAAGCTTACCGGATCAAAATAGTACTTTGCCATAGCCCAGACAGCTCGGAAGATCGGGGGTGCTCTCACCAGGATGATGCGCTGTAGGCGAGCACCAGGAGCAAGAAGCGTGAGCGGGTAAGATACTCCAAACTAGCCAGGACATACAAGCACGGCAACCTACCTTTGCTGTACCTGCATAGCAGTCTTGGGCGATTCTTGCCATGCGCTGCAAGAGAGGCAACAGATCTTGTTTCATGATGTATTCTTCGTCGAGTCCGTCCAAGTCGACAACGGCGGTCAACGACTTGACTCGGTGCCCTTCCCGCTTTTCGTAGGGTCTCCAGAACTCGCGTCTACTAATGTACTCATACAAGAACAGCATGTAGTCGATGATCCCATCGGATCCAAACTCTTCGAGGAGACCTGACGAGTCTGCGGACCCAAATCGGTTACAGTAAATGGGGTCACCGTCCTTGTCCTTGCCCTCCAGAATTCCAATGGGGTAATGGTGAAATCGTGGATCTGGCGTACCATAACGTTCCATATGCGTCTCCATGTTGTTTTGTTTTCTCCAATCCACCGTGTACCGGAGGATGTGCTCTGCCATGGCCACATCGCCATGGAATTCCTTCAAAATTCGGACCAGTTCATAAGGGTCATTTTTCCAGTGGTCTACATCCTCCACACGAAACTGGAACTGACGCATCTTTTGCTTCTCAATATCCGTGAGCTCCCATAGTTTGGACATGTCGTCGAAACGAGAGGACCTCCACCGTTCTTCCTTGGACATGAACCGATCATGGTAGGTCATTACACATCTGGATTTGGACGGCATTCTATCGTTGCGTTCCGTTGCAATGTGTTGTGGTGGCTGATGAGCGAGATGCTATGAGCGAGTAAGGAGCCACTTGCAGTAATAGCTTTTGGATAGTGTACTCGAGTAATGGGTTTATCGATTGTGGGGTAGACTGGTTGGATGGTTGCCGTTGGCGAACCTCTTTCAAGAAAGCTGAAAAGCACAAAAGAAGGAAAATGCTTGGGATCCGTCATGCGCAATTGCGGTGCATCAACACGAACTGAAAGCAGTGTCTGTTGGTTACTCGCGGATGACTTCCAGGTCCCTTATGCGACTTATTTTGGTACTACTATTAGAAAGTCTGGGACCGTTGAAGCTGCAGATGTCAAGGTCGGATTTAAGATGGTGACACCACTTTCACATGTATGAACGTACCGGATTTACGGATCCACACAAGTGTCGGGTGAAGCAAAGCATGCAGGTTTTGGCTGTGAAGAGTCTTGTTTGCACTGTCACTCGAGCTGCTTCAATCCAAGTTAGAGGATGGTACTACATACCGGTAAAGGAGTGGCAGATATGGTTGTTGCTGGAAGACTGGACGTACATTTGCGACATGTTAGGTCGGAAGTGGCTGCTGCCGTGCGAGCTGTCTCTCTAAGAACAGCAGCTGTTGGAGGTACCGGCGCACTTGTGAGCCCTTCATAAGCAACTCTCGATGTCCTACAACCGTAGCGGTACATACCGGTACCTCGTTTTTCAACGCTCTTGATGACTTATTAGGAGGACACGCCATCTTCGTCTTCTCATCAATACTACTATGATACTGAGTGTGGCCAAGTAGTCGGAAGCAAGCTACAAGAATACTATTGCCTGGCTGGTTTAACTTCATCGTTTGCCAACCAACAACCGGTCGCTCGCTCCACTACCAGAGTTCCTCGGCCCGTAATCTTGTTTTCGTGAATGCAGGGTGTGTTGAGCGGCCGTATTCTCGTTAGAACCGTACCAACCAGTTAGTACAGTACGGTACAGGCCTCGCTGCCTCTTTGAAAGGTTTCCGCCGGTGTACTTTCTGGTGCACCAGAATAGGTACAGTACCGGTAGGTACCGGTACTGGTACGGTGCCACGGTACCGGTGCCATTGCACGCGGTCAAAAGACCCAACTTTGCCTTTGTCTTCGCACAGACGGTCGCCTCTCGTGAGAGCCGCATTGAGGGTGGCGCTGATGCTACCGTACTGCGTAACTCCAAGCCCACCATCGCAATCTCAAGTCAAATAATCCAGTCACTAGTGGTGGGGGAACAAAGGCGACAGCGCTGCGGTTAACCCCGTTCGTGCCAAAATATGGGCCCGGGCAGGACGGCGTTCTCCTTGTGGCTCCCGAGATTACGTTTCATCAATTGAACAACAAACATGGCGCTTACGGGCGTCTTTGTCCTCCCCTTGTTCACGTCCTCGGCGGAGTTGGACAGCACGATGACCACCAAAGTCAGCGAAGGGCTGCTCTCTCGGCACTCAAGCTTCTTTTCCATTCTCGATCTTGGAATTTTGCCCATTTGCTCCAAGTTCGTCTCAAGTCCGAAACCCCTGGTGTCGTCGGTGGAGCGACAGCCAGGCAACCCGCTTACTTTGACTCATCGAGTCTGTGGCAGTGCAAAATGCATGGTGGGATCCTCGCTCGTGTTGGTCAAGAACAGAGTCAATGCGCCGTTTTAGTTGAACAACGAATCTTCGACTATCGCCATCGAGAGGATGCGGTCGTCCATACGGGGATGCCTTTGGCGTCTGCGTATTTCCAGATTGGCAACAATGGCACACCGGCCACCTCACACAAGGCTCTTGTCAATAGCAAAGCAGGTGATTGGAAAGGAGAGAACGCATCCTTGCAGGAACATGCCATGAGGGAGATCCCTCGGTTCTTGGCTTGGACAAGACATGCTCATCGTTTGAGAAGTTCTTCACGGGACCTTCGCTCTGACCCACGGGGCCAACAAATTGGCAAAGAAGCAAGTTGGAGTCGATGCGGGCGCTGGGACTACGCTTAGCATGGTTTTGGGCTTGACCAAGTTCTAGCCCCCCTAGTGTCCTTTTGGACTCCAAGGAACACTTGACAAACGATATTGAAGCAGCAAGATCGATCCTCATAAAGTTGCTTCATTGCGATATGATGAGAGTCTTGACTAGATGAAGCCAGGATGATCAAGCCTTGTTGCAAACATCTTATCCTTTCCACAGTAAAGCAGCATCTTTGCTTCGACAGAGTTGAGAGCAACGGGAGCTTTGCTGTGGCTCCCTGAATTGCTCCCCCCGATGGTTCCCCCTTTGCCGAACTCAGGTCACCTATCGCCTACTCAGCTGCAATTGAGGCAGCCCACAAATTTGTTTCCAGCAATGACCAGCCAGTCTCAATAAGGTGCGATGGATCACAATGATACTCCGCCCACTCTCGTTTCAACCTGCGGGCTTCGGGGATCCTCCAGAGCCCGTTGCATTTTGTTTAGTACTACTACTAATAGCTAGCTAGCAACAATACAAGTAGCAGCTTCGTGTACCGAATGCCAGAAATGGGCAAGATGACTGGCATACCTACTCAGCCCCAATGACGAACAAGATCGGGAAGGGGGGGGGGAGAAATCTTGTCGGTGCTTCGAGTCGGGCATCTCGTTTGGGTGATACATGTACATGTACTGCGAGTGGCAGGGAATGCATCCAGGGTGGAGAGCAAAATAAAAAGGTCACAAGTAACTACTCTTACTATTGCGCCGGTAGCTGCTACCAGTAGCTAGCTATTAGAAAGTCCTTCCTCGCCTTTCGAGAGACGACGAAGACCCTCTACCCAGTGTTGCCGAGGTCAGAGGACGGAGTTACATCATGATCGAGCAGATATTCCGTCTCCTGAGACGGTGCTCCTTTAGGATTCCCCCTCAGTTGCACTCCGAAATCGATTCCCTGGCGTTTACTGTGTAAAATAGTGTACCCGCACTTCAGTTGCAGAATCAACGGTCATGTGTATCGTTAAGTAACAAGTTCCCTTTCGAAAGATTAGATCGATTCGTGGATAAAAGAACCGTTGAAGTTACTAAGGTTAAGGATAAACTGATTGCTGGTACTCGTACCTGGTACCGTTCAAGTCCATCATTGGAGGTGCAGCACTGACTTCTCTCCCTCATTATTCCTATGGTAAACAGGAGAGAATACCAGCTTGGCCGACAATTGTGTTACAGGTACCGGTAGGAGGAGTTCTTTATTCAATCGATCGATCGAATCGATCGCAATGAGGTAAGCCTATTATCAAGAGCGTTTGTTGAAGGTGCAGCGCTGAATTCTCTCCCTCATTGAATTTCTATGGTATTCAGGAGAGAATTCCGAGCTCGGCCGTCAACAGTGAGTTGTTTTAATTATTCGATTCGAATCGAATCGAAAATCGAATCGGTCGCACCTCTGTTATCCGGCCTCACTCAAGCCGTCTTCGTCGAGTCATTGAAAGGCAACAAGAGGAGCTACACGAGCGAAAACAGGAGGCTACACGACAACACCACACAGAGAGAGTGGATCCTCCTACCGGATTCATCCCTCCTTGTTATTTCCTAGTTTGTTTGGTGTGATTCCTGTGTCGGACCCATTTTCCTGTATGCACAAGTGGTTGTCGAGGATTTGGCCAAGTCCTCGAGCGACTTGCCTCTTCGTACGATAAGATAGATGTAACTAGACTAGAACAATGGCTGGATTGACAATATTCGGTTGTGCATGTATTCGTCATAAGGATCCAATGCAAGGTATCGGTAACGAAGTGTAGCCAGTAAAGTGAACCTGAGTGTGTTCGGTACTGTTGCCACTGTCACGATCGATGTAACTCTACGGTAACTGGCTACAATAGCTGGATTGACAATATTCGGTTGTGCATGTATTCGTCATAAGGATCCAATGCGAGGTACGGTAACCGTAGCGAGCAAAGCCGAACTTTCGGTACTGTTGCCACTGTCGTCGATGTAGCTATACCGCAGCCGGCTACAAAGGCTGGATTCATAATGTTCGGTTGTGCATGTATTCGTCATAAGGATCCAATACGAGGTACTTGTACCGGAGTGTAGCGAGCAAAGCCGAACCTGAGTGTGTTCGGTACTGTTGCCACTGTCGCCGATGCAACTATGCGGCAGCCGGCTACATGGCTGGATTGACAATATTCGGTTTTGTGCATGTATTCGTCATAAGGATCCAATGCGAGGTAACGAGGGCAGCGAGCAAAGCCGAACCTGAGTGTGTTCGTACTGTTGCCACTGTCACCGATCGATGAACTCTACGGTAGCTAGCTACGATGGCTGGATTGACAATGTTCAGTTGTGCATGTATTCGTCATAAGGATCCAATACGAGGTATTTGTACCAGAGTGTAGCGAGCAAAGCCGAACCTGAGTGTGTTCGGTACTGTTGCCACTGTCGCCGATGCAACTATGCGGCAGCCGGCTACAATGGCTAGATTGACAATCTTCGGTTGTGCATGTATTCGTCATAAGGATCCAAAACTGAGGAAGGATAAAGGAGAGACGCTGAAAAAGGAATCGACGCTGAAAAAAACCGAATCCTCTCACACAAGTTATCATGCCACCCCAAAACAGCCCAACAGGCCCTTTGCCACGAGAGATTAGGGTAAAAACTATTTTTCAAGTCTTACGATGTTAGCGAAGAGTGACTGAATTATTTACTGGGACAGGTCACCAATGCCAAACGCTAAATCACCATCTTGCACATCCCCACATTCTCTTCAGGCGGGGTCATAACCAGTCATTGTGACCTCTTTATTCCTCCCTTCGTTCGTGAAATCTATTTAACTGTTAAAATCGGCTTGCTTTCCATCCATTTCCACGAAAGCTGCTGTACGGCGAACCATTGATTTCACATTCTCAATTCGCCGTACCGCAGCTTTCGTGGAAATGGATTTCGCTTAGAGCCAGCCGAGCTTCCGAAAACGTCAGTCGTCAGTCATAAACTTACTCAGTTCAGTCACTTTTGTTCCAAGAAGTTCTTTATGTTGTTCCAAGAAGTTCTTTATTGCGTGTGGTACTCACACGGTATTCAGGGTTGGCCATTTTCGTTAGAGTTGGGGATTCGAGGTGCCATTTTTGTTAGAGTTGGGGTTCGAGGTGGTTCGTGTTCGCGTGCCAACGTGCAAAACTAACTGTATGTGGATAGGAATGAAATCTTGATTCGTACAACTAATAAATCGACGAAAATAAATGTGTTTCGCGAATGCACGGAGGACACACATGGAGAATGGATAGAGCTTCAAAGGATTACGGGTCACCAGAGATTTTGTACAGTACGTTGACGTTATTACTGATGATCAAGACCGATTGCACAAGGTGTATATTTAAATATTTAGAGATTTAAGGATAAAGGCGACCCATGACCGCATACGTGCGAGAACGAATGGAACAACGGAACTTCCGAAGATCGCTGGGGATGATGTCACCTATGACCATACTACCTACTACAGAGTAGCTATTTTAATAGTAGCTGATGTACCGGTATGGTACAGACAGAGTTGGCAGATAGATAAGGTAATACTTCACGTAAATCTTGCAGTCGGCTCTGGCTTCGGAAGTTGAGGCCCTCTTTCCCTCACAATTTCAAGAGCAAACGCTACAACAGCTCACAATTTCTCTCACCACTCAAAACAAATCTACCCTTCGAAAATGTTTGTCTCTAGCAACCAGCTGATCCGTCCTCGTGTGATTGCATCACGGGTGGCAGATGTGAACAGCAAGCAGCAGAAAGCCACGAAAAAGATCACGCCTCTCCTGATTGGAGCCTTTCACCTGAGCACCAGTGGAATCTTTCATCCTGACACGAAATTGTTGTCTGTCATTGGAAGCTTTCCAGCTGTGCTATTGTGCTCCTCGATCATCCTGTTCAAATCAGAAGATTTCAGTGGAGTTCCGGTGGGATACCTCACCCGACTCCTCTTGTTCTTCTTTCAGTTTGAGATATTGAACAACCTGAAAACTGTTTGGGCAGGAGCAACGCTTGATGCCAGGTCAAAAGACAACGCCATCATGGAACTTTTCCCAAGAAAGCGCACTATCACGGCAATGTGGGCCGCTTGTCTTCTCTCCGTTTCAACAATGGTGCTAGCAAGCATCGCCTCTGGCGGGAGCCTCTTTAACGGTGCCCTCATTGGGTTGATCACAGTGCACCACTACATGGAGTTTGACAACAAGGAACTCAACCAAACTCTAATGATGTCGGGAAAGTCTCATTGGGTGATCAAGAATCTCGTGGCTGCCTTCGTTGGCTACTGGTTGTTGCCTTGCTGGATGGCCAGTGTTGATCCACTATTTTCTTCTCTTGGACAATCCATGCTGCAACGAAGTGCCTTTGCTGTGTTTTATTGGCAAAATCAAGATATCAAGGACATCCAGGTTGATCGCGAAGAGGGCTGCACCACACTGTCCACCATGCTGGAAGACAAGTTGGGATACAAGAACGGCCTCCTAGTCAACGCACTCCTGACTGTGACATCGGGGCTAGGATTGATGGTGTACTTGACGCCCGGAGCTGTGACCATGTCCTCAGCATCGGTCTGGGTTCTTTGTGCGATCTCGTTTGTGGCATCCGGTGCATGCCAAGTGCACATGGCCCAAACAACGAGTATCATCAGCGAAAAGAAGGCACAAAGAGCTGCAAAACTTGCATATGGATTCATGGTCTTGTGTGAAGTGTTCACGCTGTTTCTTCTGTGAAGAAAGACGGGATTATACTTGATTCATACGGCTCGCCATGTACAAATAGAACCAACCACTGTAACATAAATAATCTTGGTTGAATGAATCGAATCCAATCACCTTCCTGTGGGCTGTCATAGTGCATATCTTCCTGGACCTTTGTGGCCTTTGTGGAAGGTCGGCCGTGGTCTCCTTGAAGAAGATTTTAGAGATGACCCCTTAGTCAGGATTTAAAAGAACGATTGAAGCTTTAGGAGACAATTAGATCTATGTGGGACTCTCCGTTTCCACAACGGTCCTCCTGGGGGTGATTGCTTACTGGCTATCTAGCAGTACTAGTAGGTGAATTCGTGAAGGAAGCTAACGCAATACCGAAAAAGATAATGAATCCAGCTTCGCCCACTACACTATTTCCGCTCTCGCTGCTATGTAGATGAAATCAACCTGTGGGTGTAATCTGAGAGCCCGTTCGCCCCAACTTCATCCACAGTTGATCCACGAATTCACGATCCCGGTCGTTGAGTGGAGGCTTGGTCGCTGCTCGCTTCAATTCACGAAGCGTGTTTCGCATGTCTGCTGGCGTCAAAGGACAGCGCTGAAAGTGCTGATAAATATCGTTAACTTTCATGGGCATGCTGCGCTTGTTGAGCCTGATCGCGAGACAAACTTGGGTGAGACTTGGACATTCCAAACAACGACTGGAATTCAAATCTAGGAGTGAAACTTACGGAAACACGCGGCAAAACCCAAGGCGTCCTGCCTTGATACAGTACTTGCAGCCAAACCCCGTCAATCCGACTGGCGCTTCCTTACGTTTCCCAACTCGTTCCGGTTCCAACAAGTAGCATTCTTCGACTTGGTTCATGAGGAGGTATAGATAGGGCGAAAGTGTGCGCTGATCACTGGAACGAACCAACATTATGCTCTCGCGACCTTCGGCCTGCATTGCGCCTATGTGTTCTGGTGTCGTTCCAAAGGTGTTCATGGCATTTGCCGCGGCCAAGGACTCTTCTGTGATTGTGATGCCATAGTCTGTGTTGATCATGCCAATCTTTTCGGCGGCATATGCCCAGTACTCGCGCGACAGAGAGCTACTGGGGATCTTGTTCTCTTGATAGGCCACGAACCTTTTCTTGAGCATTGCGGCATTGCGTTACAACCTTGCCAATGGTCGCGAACCATCATCGTGAAGGACTGGTACATTTGCCGAATACTAGAGGGAAAAGCACTGGACCGGATGGCCCGCGAATTGGGATGCAAATGTGCACAGTATCGGCAACGTATTCCAAGTTGTTGGTAGGAGACGCTCTTGGATGAGCTTCGCACCAACACATCTTGATGACTTGCCCTCACGACCTCAAGGAGCTCAGCCCGAATGAAACACTGTCGCTCCGACAACCAATTGGAATCTTCTTCAATGGCCAGCGGCACAATGAAGCGTTTCGCCCAATGAACTGTGTCGCCCTCTTCCATTGGAGGCAACGGTCGGTCTTTTGGCAACTTCATCTCTCTT